CCTAACTCAGCATGACTTTGTGGAAAGCTCATTGCAATACTTAGATTATTCATCCTTTAAAGGTGTTCAATTTAATAACCATACTGATAGGCTGAGATTTCCTCAAAACTAAAATAATGAGAGTTTACATCACAATTTGCTGATTTTATCACAGGTTAGAAATAAACTAAGGTAAATTTCATTAGTAGAGTAGAATAGAGTTTCATTAATTGTTTTCTTAAAATGGTGGATAATTAAGTATACTTTGAAAACAAACTGAAAGCAACATGGAAAAATGCTTAAAACTTGCCAGGATTTGGGGGGCAGGGGGGGGCATTGCTTAAAAGAAGCAATAGAATTGGTGGCTTATTATTCCCTTATTTGCAATGTTGACTTGTGACTAAGGAGAATTCAATGGGGGATAAAAGCAAAAGATCAAAAATAATTGAGAACATTATAATGTCTGGCTCATTAGAGTTTTGGGCCAGACAAAGACATTGCTAGACAAAGAGAGACACAGAAAGACTCATTTTTCTTGTCACGTCAGTTTGGCTGCAGCCTCAGGTGTCAGACAACCAAGTAAGGTTTCAGTGGCATGGCTTTTGGCAAATTTGGATGCAGGTGATCCCTTTGAATCAAGAGTACCTTGATGTACTCTGGTATGGGAGTAGCCAAAATCTAGTCAGCAATCCACACACAAACCTCTCCCACTTGTCATGCTTACTGGCAATAAACTCAGCCAAAAGAGAGTAGGTAGACCGTGATGTAGCACCCCTGTATCTGGAGAACATGCACAGAGCTAAAAGGTGCTCAGCTGTGACACTGGGCTGAATAAAGGGATGGTGGTGGTAAAATCCAAAAGGAAAAAAGAGTCTAAAAGTAGATAATAAGGCAAGAAGAAATCAGAACTGAGAGTAAGATAACAATACAGGAGGAAGAGGAGAGAGGAAGGGCAGGAAGGCCCAGAGGCAGTAAGACAAGAAGTGTGGCAGAGAGAAATAAGAAAGAATTAAAAAGAGCTTGAAAACCATTTGACCCATGGCCAAAAGGCCAGATTGAAAAAAAAAAAAAGAGTAATTGGTGGGGTTTTATTTTGTTTCCATTTTGTTTTTTCTCTTTCTTTCAGGTTCAAAGAATTTCCCTTTGTCATTTTTTCTGTCTTGGATTTAAATGGTACATTTGCTCTACAATTAAAACAACAGTACAGTCATCTGTATCTGGGCTTCAGACATGATTTTGAAATGAACAAACTAAAACACTCACTGCACTTACTTTCTTTTTTAAAATTCAGGAGTCCCCGAATTCAGGCAGGGCTGATCAACAGCCACAGTTGTCCTCAAACTGCAGCTTTTGATGTAGGCTTTGGCCTCCAAGGTCTGAGAGCTTGGAGTTTTCATCATGTCTTCCCTCTCATTATTTTTACCTTTACACTGGGAAGACTAAGATAAGCAGGTTTTGACCTTGTGTTAATTAGGTGCCTGTTACTGCTATTATCAAGACCAAAAAAAATAAAAGGCAGAAATGACTGTGTGATATTACATAAGTAGTTCTGTTTATACACTACAGGACACAAACCGCTGAGTTTAAAATACCACATGAAACAGCTAATACAAAATGAATGCCAAAAAGTCAAAACTTTTAAAGATGAATAGATTGTTCAAAATATGTATTGATTATTTTCATTACATGAGTTACTGAATTTAGATGCTGTCCAATCTGACATCAGTATCTGATATTGAAAAGAAACTATTTTTATGGAAAAGTCTCCATCATTACAGGAATAGTGAGTGAAATGTCCCGTTTGACATTTTTCACTTGATCTTGCACTAGGTAGACAGGAGCAGATGTTCATATTAAAATCCCTCCATTTGGATGAGCACTGGTTAGGCCACAGCTGAAGTACTTGGAACAGCTTTGGAAGGGTGTTGAGAAGGGTATGGATGCACAGAAGGGGGTGTTAATGGACAACCATAAGAATCATCAGGAGTCTAGAAAAAATTGCATTTGCTTAGCCCAGAGAGGGAAAGATTAATGGACAGCATGATTGATAACAGCAACGAAGTAGTTGAGGGGCTGCAACAAAAACAGAGGATAAAACTTCTCATTTCACCCACCGAGGATGAAACTAGAGACAACAGACAAGGGAAATTTGGACTAGAAACTACATTTTTTTCAGTGCCTGTATCAAGCTGATGGCATAACAGACAGAAGCTAGTATTTTAACCAGTTTCTTGATGAGGATGTAAGATATTCCCACTCACAACCAGACCAATATCAAAAGGCTATAGCAATTACTGAAGAGGTATCCTGAGAAAACTTGTATGTGTTAATTTCCTGCTTCAAAGCTATAAAGCAGAATCTACAGATGGCAGTGTTATATTTGTTTATTATATATTATATTATGGTTGTGTGTGTGATTCTGGGCCTTTACAATTATACACAAGTCATGGAAAAGTCAAAGTTGCTTTCTTGCTTTCTGTCTTTCCACACCATCAGAAATAAATAGTGATCTTTTTCCAGGACACAAATGAAAATTCTGCCAGCCCCCACGACCAGGATAGAGCCTCCTGTAACAGCTGCTCCAGCATTAACCGTGGGAAGACTGTACACTTCATCTGACGTCTAGTCCTTTCTGGAGAAAGTTACAGCTGTCCTTGTGAGAAAAGCTGGTACTGATATTCTCAGATCTCCCAATAAATAGCTGCTGCCTGACAGTGCACACAACCTGTTTACTCTTACCTTGGAGCTCTGTCGCCTGTTATGTTTTCTCTTTCATTTATTACTGCTTCATCTCTTCATTCCCTTATCTGATCTTTCCCCAGGCAAAATGTAGTTCTTACACTTCTCTTATTTCTGTTTTCACTCCTCACCCATCTTTCTTTCCCAGTTCATGACCTTCTAGTCTAAACCCTGAGACAAATTCCTTCTTTTTTCTTTTGCAATGCATTTCTGTGTAAAGGTTCATATAACCCCTAAAGAAAAAAAAACAGGTTAGGTTTGCCTAGATGAGTAACTCATCTCCCATCAACCAGTCATTGCACAAACACCCCTCCCATTTGCAGAGAGGATATCAACTCTTAGGCACTGCTCAACCCTACTCAAGCCCTCCAAACAGAGCTCAAGTGCACCTGAATACATTAAGTTAAGGATCGAACTTAAAGTTTAATTCCTGATGTAGGAATAGGCCTTCTACCTAGTGAGGCTGAGCCTTCATATGCTCTTTGGCTTTCCTCCTCAGTAAGGTTTTGTGGAGGGCTAGGTTGCACTTCCAGCTGATGAGGGAGACGGCAAATAGCTACAAGCAGTGTCTGGGAAACCCAGGCTCAGTTTCCTCTACAGCTTTAGGGTAATATTCTACCAAGGCACATATAAAGATGCTTTAAAGTAGTTGCCACCGACGCTTACGACTGGTTTGTAATGATATGGTGCTAGCCAGTTTTCCAAGGATCTGCCCAGCTTCCTGCGTGTCTGTGGCATCCATGCTGCAGTACTGTGCTACCATAAATAGTGTATGAGCTTGCCAGTTTACAGCTTTCCTGAGTATACCATCACAAATAAGATAAACGGCTACAGCTATGGAGTAAAGATTACTCCATCCCCCCCTGGAAAGTCTATGTGGAACAATACAGCTTAATTAGTTTAGACTGAGCTTCTGGAACTTAATCTGCCTCATTCAGATCAGTTTGGGTATTTCTATGCATTTTGCCACATAGACACTCCCTGTGCCCCATTTTCCAGATGCTAAAAGAGGAAAATAGTATGTTCTTATTTTCTGGAGGACTACAAACTGCATCACACAATGGCACCACATGCTAGCATTAATGGAGTTATGCAAGAAACTGAGATATTTGAGGGTCAAGGTCTCAAACGTATCTGAAGTTTTCATCATTTGCATTTTCCAGAATAATAATATGGACACGAGCTGCAACTTGTTTTGTATTTGCAACTGATCTCAGCTTTCTCAACATTTTCCTTTGTCTGGAGCATGTGTTCAATGCAGAATCAGCCCTCTGAAAATACTGCAGAAAGCTGTAAAGTAGGACAGATCGAGGAATGGGACTAATTTTAGGTAACTGTTGTTATTTCAGTCCTCCCCCTCCATTTCTTTGGTTTATTTTATTTCCACTACATACAGCTTTCTTCCCCCCACGTTATAATTGCACAAATAAGAGCTATCCAATACCGAGAAAAACACATTGCTAGGAAATCTGCAGATTCAAAAGAGGAATGTTTCTTAGAGCAGAGGGCTTTATGTGCAATGTCTTGATAAATCTTACGAGCAGTGGTCCCTATAGTACTTTCAATTTCTCCTGAAGTATTTTGTTAAGACTGAAATTGTGACATAAAACTTCCAAAACAAATCAACAGTGCTGAATTGTGGTCATAGGTTAGTCAGCGGTTGGATAAAAACTACTAACCCAAGTTCTACAAGTTATTTAGAAAACCAGTAAGCACTGCAAAAAACTCCTTCAGGAAGCACAGATGCTTCCAGATCACAAAACCTTCCATCTGGGTTGTACTACTAGG